AAAAATTAAGAAGAATAAGTCGAGATCGAAAGAAGATTGATTATTCGCAGATTGGTGGGTCTAACTTAAGTGGAAGGGTGTTGCAGTTTTACTTTAAAAAAAATGCATTATGCAAATCGTAAACAAAAAATAATGTTTTATTAAAATATCCCCGTCTATGTAAATGAGAAAAAAACGTGTGAGATTTGTAGATTTTTTCATACTTTAACAGTTTTAACAAGTAGGATGTAGAACTTGTTATTCTTCGCTAGGGAGACTATGTAAATGTTGATTAAAGAAAAAGGATATATAATGGAGAAATTATGATGCGAAAAGGGGATTATTATTTTAACTAAAATTTACTTTTAATTTTTTAATTTAATTTTATTTTATTTTTTTATGATGTTTACTATTATAATTTTGAATAAAGAATTAAAGTTGATTTTATGATTTCGTAATTCCTAATTATTATTAATTTCCTTTTATATATATATATTTGTTTTCTATTTTTATATTTAGGTTTTGATGCACAATGACAATCTTGTCGTTGTGACAGTTATTATATACAAATATCAGTATTTATCCATGTATAATAAATAAAATTTAAACAAAAAAGATTAATGCCTTAAAAGTTGTAGTTGTAGGAGGCTTATAATTTAAGAAACCAGATAAATATAAAAAAATGTTTTTAATTCTTATTTATTAAAAAAAATATGAGTCTGAGATTAGGACAAGGCAATTAAAATTTTATAAATTAATATTTTTTGATTAAATATTAGGGTGAAAAAAAAATTGGGTTCAAATTATTTTTTAATTTGCAGATTATAAAACTAAATATAAATTTTATGTCAAAATACATTAAAAAATTGTACCATATAAAACTTGTGAGTATATTTTTAGGAGTCTTTATTTATATTTTTCATATTAAATATGGTTACAATTAATGGTATTTGTAGTTTCATATAAAGGCAATAGGATAGCTTTAATTTTTATAAGATGCTCCCATTCTTCCTATATATTATCAAAGTATTATATTATAACCTAATTATAAATTTTAGTTTACCTCTTATATTTGTTTTTCTTGAAGAATTTAATATTAGTTATTACTTCATTAACTAATTTTGTTATAGCAGGCTTTAACAACAAGCCCCTTTCAATCATTTGGTAGGTGCTATTCCACCTTATTTCACAATCCAATTTTGGTCTTAAAAAATTTAGGGGAGGGTGTAGGGAACTACATATATTTTTTAATAAATTTAATTTCTTAGGGGAATTACGAATCATTCTAATAATGTTTCTTAGTTTTAGAATTGAAGGATCTAAAATTTTTAAAATTTCTTTGGATATTAAATTAATTACATGGGCAAAACATCAGATGTGCCCTATTTTTATTAATGGAAATTTTAAAGAAAATGTATCAATAAATGTTTTATTATTAGTTGCACTATCTAAAGTTTTATAAAAATTTTTATTCTCTAAATTATAATTATTAATTATTTTGAGAAAGGATTTAAATATATTTTCACCTGAATGTGTTTCATTTATTCGACTGACATCCAAAATTATGTTATTTATTTAAAAATATCATCAATAAAATAGGCTGTTAGCCCTAAAAAAAGGAACCTGTGTTGGGCTAGTCCAAATGTCAGATGAAAAATTAATCTGACTTTTATTTTTAGATATTATTTCCTTTACCAACTGTTCTTTTTCTGCAGATGTATTATACATATGCAATTTAAGAGTATTAAAGCATATTGATTTTTCAGAACAATCAAGACTTATAAAATTTTTAAAATCATTTGAATTAGTAATTTTAAAAGGTATACTATTATTTATAAATATTTAATAAATTTTCCTTAAAATTAATTTTTTTTGAAGAATTTGGTGTAGACTTTAAAAAGATGTCAATTTTATTATTTTTTTTATTAAAGTGTGAATGAAACCTATTATAATGATTATTAAAAGGAGATGTTGGTTTGCCTTTACATTTTATAATACTCTTGCATTGATTGCAAGCAGCCTTTTCACCGTCTTTAGGGATTTGATATTGATCCCATATGATTGCTCTCTTTTGTGAGGAAATTTTCATATCTTCAACATCAAGTATAATTTCATCAGTAGCATTCTCCTCTAACATAATTAGGCTAGCTAACAATAATTATTGTAGAGATGTAATATATGTAATTTTTAATATAATTTATTATAAGATTCAAAAAATAAACTTTTCGTGAGATTCAAAAAATGTGGTAAATAAAATTTTTTTAAATTTGTGCTAGAATTTTTTTAAACACAAACATCACCTGCCAGATTGACTGGTCAACAAATAGAAATGACAAATGTTAGATTTATTTAACAATTTATCAACGAATCGAATAAATGATTATAAAACAAATAATTTATTATTCGTATAAATAGGCCTACTTTATATAAATATATAAATATTACTTTAGATATATTTAAATATTTTATATTTAATTAAATATTCATAAATATATATTGCATAAATTATAATATAAATATTTTAAAATTTATTAAATTTAAATGTTAAATGTGTCTTGTTTGTATTTACCATATTTCTTTTTTTGGGAGGGCCTCCTTTGATCGTATTATTTTGATCGTAAAATGGTACCTTTGTCCATTTCAGGTCAAAATGGTCGATTTTTTAATTCATATGAATTTATATGCACGTAATTTTTCTAATTCTTTATATCAGATTAATGTAGTAATGTATACCTATTAATAAACATATATCAATGTATTATTTATTAGATAATGAAGAGGTACTGATTTTGGGAGGGCCTCCTTTGATCGTATTATTTTGATCGTAAAATGGTACCTTTGTCCATTTCAGGTCAAAATGGTCGATTTTTTAATTCATATGAATTTATATGCACGTAATTTTTCTAATTCTTTATATCAGATTAATGTAGTAATGTATACCTATTAATAAACATATATCAATGTATTATTTATTAGATAATGAAGAGGTACTGATTTTGAATGCCTTTAATTGATGGAAATAGAAGCAACTATAAATATGATTACAACGTATACCTATTAATAAACTGATAAAAATGATTAAAATTTATTATTTATTAGATAATGAAGAAAGAAGAGCTACTGATTTTGAACTCCTTTAAATAATGGAAATATTTTTCTAATTCTTTATATCAGATTAGTGTAATAATGTATACCTATTAATAAACATATATCAATGTATTATTTATTAGATAATGAAGAGCTACTGATTTTGAATGCCTTTAATTGATGGAAATAGAAGCAACTATAAATATGATTACAATGTATACCTATTAATAAACTGATAAAAATGATTAAAATTTATTATTTATTAGATAATGAAGAAAGAAGAGCTACTGATTTTGAACTCCTTTAAATAATGGAAATATTTTTCTAATTCTTTATATTAGATTAGTGTAATAATGTATACCTATTAATAAACATATATCAATGTATTATTTATTAGATAATGAAGAACTACTGATTTTGAATGCCTTTAATTGATGGAAATAGAAGCAACTATAAATATGATTACAATGTATACCTATTAATAAACTGATAAAAATGATTAAAATTTATTATTTATTAGATAATGAAAAAAGAGCTACTGATTTTGAACTCCTTAAATAATGAAATATTTTTCTAATTCTTTATATCAGATTAGTGTAATAAAGTATACCTATTAATAAACATATATCAATTATTTATTAGATAATGAAGAAAGAAGAGCTACTGATTTTGAACTCCTTAAATAATGGAAATAGAAGCAACTGATAAATATGATTAAAATTTATTATTTATTAGATAATGAAGAAAGAAGAGCTACTGATTTTGAACTCCTTTAAATAATGGAAATGGAAGCAATGGATAAATATGATTACAATTTATTATTTATTAGATAATTATAACTTATAAATAAAATTAATTGATAATTTGGTCAGAATATTATATTTTATTATACATCTATATTATAATTATACATAAGTTTTAAACAAATAAATATTTATTTATAATTTTTAAATTATATTGAGTAATTAGATTTTGAATATTCTTTTCTTTTGTTATATATTATCCATCATGATACAAGCACAAATTCCCTTTTGAAGTTGGAATATATTGTATATCTAAAAATTACAGTGTCAAAATATAAATTATTTATAATCAGATTATGTAAATGTAATAATCAGATTATGTAAATGTAATAATATAATTTATTTACTTAAATTTTCATTGTTGGAATTATGTAAGTCTAATAAAATTCCTGCATTGTTAATGTCTTCCAAGTCTAATTATATTAAAATATATTTTAAAAAAAATATTTGTAATCTACTTGTAAAAGTAGTTTGATTATTAGTGTGGTTAAATGCAAAACTTTGTATTTGGGCCACATTTGTTAATATATCTAAAAAAATGTTTATTAATTTATACAATTATTTTTGTTACTTGAAATTGGAGGGTAAAAGTTATCTCTAGTAATATTTGGGGCTGTATATGTTGTGGTTGTATTTGTTGAATTGTATTAGCTTGTTTATTCAAAAATAATTATTTTGTTTGTTACTTATTGATTACTAGATGAGCTACTGGGTTGGCTAATATTCTGATCTATATTACACTGAGAATCTTTATCTAAATTAATGTATGTAATCTAGATAAGTTTAGTATTAAATATACCTTCAGCTGTTAGATGATTTTGTGTCACTCTAAAAAAATATTTTTTTAAAAATCAAATTAAATATATCATACTTTGTAATGATTCATTTCTTCTTTTAAAAAATAGTCTTAAATTATCAGCTACAGTATTAAGCATAATGTTTTTAAATGATTTTAATTTACCGCGATTAAATAGACCAATCAGAAAAAAATGGACAAAATTTACGATCAAATGACTTTACGATCAAAGTTAGGCAAATCTTTTTTTTCACTCAAAATCAGCTGTGGGAATATTTCAGCACCGAACCTATTTTTATTGCATTTTTAATAAAAATGTTAAATATGAATTCATTCTTAATTCTATTTTCTATTGTAGTAAATGTTAATTTATAATGACTAAATTATATATTTTTTAACAATAAATTAGATGTAGATTAATATTTAGAGTTTTACATAGAAGTAATAGACAATTCTGAATATATTGATTTTTAAAGTTTTTTTTTTGAATTTTTAATAAAATTATTTTGATATTTGTCCTACATTTTTTTTATTTAATATAAATTTTTTTAGTTTTAATTACTTCCAAAATTAATTTTTAATAAAATGTAATCTACATATTTATACACCTACAAAAATGGCATTTTCTCTTTAGGATATATCTGATACTGTGTTATCTTAAATTTTATAAATATTTTTGGTTTAAATTTTTAAATTGAGTCAAATTTTATACTTTGATATTATTTAAGTTCTCTTAAAAGATTTTTTTATGCATTCCAAAAAAAGTATAAAATATCAGACATCTATCATGGGAGAGGGGTATAGGGCAAGATTATAATTGAGATTGGAGGGGATATATAGTTATAAAGACTAATCATATAAATAAAATTGAAGGAGGTAGTGAGTATGATCTAATTTTATTTATTTAATAATTTTGTTTTGTAGAAGAGGGTAGGGAGGTAAAATTTAGAATAAATAGGGGGTAAAGTATTTTTTAGGGTGGAGGGGTAAATTATCATAGGCTTAAGGGTTTGTAAAAAAAGCTGCATGATATATATAAATTTTAAAAAGATGATCAAAGCATATTTATGGCTTACTATATTCATCTTTAATCTATGTGTTTGACAAAAAAGTTAAATCAGCTGAGATTCAAGAAAGAAAATATTTAAACTATTGAAATTTTAATAAAAAATTTTTTTATTTCCCACTTTCCAGGTAGTCCAATTTCCCTTCTAATCCCCTTTCATTTTTGATGGTCCTGGGCATCTCACCACTATCCTAGCCTAACATTTTTATATCACTATCTACCACATAAACTTCTCTTTTGTCACTCCTATTCATTCAGTTGTCCTTCTCAGTCTATTTTTTCTCATTGGCATCATGCCCATTATTATGTTTCATTCCTTTCAGTTATTTGCTTGTGTTGACCTACTTATTCATCTAATCAATCTCATCTGTTCTTTCCAACAGACTTTGTGTGTTTTCAGAGTTTTTATTGGTTTTCAAAATAAAAAATTAAAATTTTTGATCAGATTAAAATAAGAGCAATTTTTTCAAACTCTGACTGCCTTAATTTCTCATGTTCTTCCACTAGACAGAATGCAATGTCTAACATTCTCATACAAATTTTAGCATGCATACAAGGCTAGGGAATCATTTTTATTGGTTAGAATTGAAGACATCTCTATATCCTTGTCACTACTGCCGAGTCAATGCCCCCATCTGTGCTAAGTGCATTGTTTATATATTGCAACCTAATTGAACATTTGCAATTCAAATGGTATTGCGTAAATTGAACAATTTATAAATGAATAAAAATGCAAGCTGGTTTGCTTTTTTTGAAAATGCTCAATTAGGTCACAATATTTTCAATATCAAAATCAATCTATTCATCATCATCTTGCACCCTATTTGCATACTCTCTACAAACAAATGTTACACTTGCAAGGTGCATGTTTTCCTTTACACCTATTGCAAACCATTTACGACAGCAAATACAGTTGATAGAGTTTTTAGCAACACCCTTTCCACAACATGGCCAGGTCTTGAACCTTTTGATCTTTCCTAATCATTGGCCTTTTAACAAAAGTCACGGTTCAGTTTGTAACCAATTTTTAAAGAGTAAACTGAACTGTGGTACCGAATGTAAAGACCAAATAGAAGCATGGGCTACATATAAAGATGCCCAGGGTTCATACCCATTCTTTTTGGTTTTGAATACACCTATATTAAAATTTAAAAAATTTATTTATTTGCAAATATATGAATAATAAAATAAGACAAATAAAAACAGTGACTATATTATTTTTTATTTTAGAGTAATAATATAATTTCAATAAGATTTAATTTATTCCTCTGATAGATATTCCTTTTTAGAACCATGGCCCAATGCACGATAGATTGTATCATTTTTTATAATCTATTTCACTTAGTTACTGCGGTATTTAAAAAAATATAATTTAACAATTATAATTAATACAAATGAGTAATTATCAAAATATAAATAATTCTTATTGCAAATGCAATACTTTTATTAAAAATAATATAATATAAAAAATATATAAATAATTGTAATTAAGTTTTGCATATAAAAATTTAATGACCAAGAACATATTATAATCATATTGCAATTTTATGATTTGAATTTATAAAGAGAGGTCTACTTTTCTCTGAGATTTGGCTAATTCATTTAGAATCAAATTTTTATCTAGAATAATCTCCTTATAAATATTTAAAATGGCTAATCCATCTAAACGGCTTTCACCGATCTATTTCTTAAATAAGTTTTTAACCTTTTCAAAGTTGAAAAAGACCTTTCATTAGTGCAGGTATTAATTAAGGTAGCTAAAATAAAAAGCAGTGTTTTAATATCAGTCAGGGAATTTAAAGTGCAATTACATATGGAAAGGGCCTGGAAAAGCATTTTTTGGTCTTAAAGAATACCCTTGTCAAGATTTTTATACCAAAATTCGACATCACAAAAGTAATTTATCACTGATAAATCATCAGAATAAAACTCTGAAATTTTCCTAATATCTCCTCGCGTTTCAAGTGTATTCAGACTCAACCGGCAAAAGAAAATAAAATCTTTTTAAAATAAATTGTTACTAATAAATCTTTCCTTTAATTGAAATAAAAATGTATCAATAAGGGGAAAAAAAATATTTATTTTATAAAAATCCACAATCATAGATGCATCAATATTTAAGCGATTGGACTGTCTATAAACTACTCTAGGTTTAAACATTTCAATTCCAAACATATTAGCGATCTCCTTTACTTTCTCGTAGATTTCATAAACGATTTTTCTTTTATTTAAAAATAAAAAATTTTTAAAATTTTTAAAACTATCTAATTAGTTTAACAATATAAAATTTATTATCAAATTTATAAATATCTAATTTAACTATGCCAGAAAATATTTACAATATATTTAATATTTTACATATAATTTTTACTATATATTTTTAAATTATATGATAATTTAAAATTGAAAATTCTTATTTGTTTTTTAAAATATATTTAATTTTGATATCGTATATATTATTTTATTTCTAAATTGAACCCGTTTTTTAAATAAAATTACGCAAAATTTTTTTTTTGGGGGGGGGGGCGCCACTGTTGGAGGTAGATTTTTTAAAAATTTTTTTATTTTGTTTATATACTTTTTAAGTAAAAAAAATAAATTTTTAATAGGATCGAAGGGTCGAATATTTAACAAAATGATTTCGATCACGATCCTCAATTTAAGAGAATATCCCGGATAAATTGTCAAAATTAGGATGAATCCAGAATCGTCGATCCTTTGATCTTATCCTTTAACAACTCTGCATAATTCTAAAGAAATATATATTAATTTTACATTTATATGATTTTTCAAAATAAATTTTACTTTATTTTACAATAAAAGGATAGTATTATACAGGCGCGTACGCAGGAATTTTGTCTGGGAGGGGGGGGGGGATAATATAATTTTTTAAGAAATATTACAGTTATTTAAAAATATTAAGTAAAAATTTATTAGGACTTTTCTAATACAACAATTTTAAAATGTGAATTATAAAAAAATTATATATATAAACCGGCATTGAAAAACTAATATAAATGTGAATTATAAAATAAAAATATAACCACCATATGAATCAATGACCCAAAATTGAAATTTGAATATTTTTAGTCTTTAAAATTTATATATAAAGTATAAAAATATTCAAATGCTGGAAATATCACAAAAGGTTTCTTAGGAATAATTGTATTTTGTATATTTTGAGCTAATTTTTCAATTATCTCATCCTTGCTTGGCGTTAAATGCCTATGAATATTCAAAAGATCCAAACCACTCAATCTACTTTCAGAAGTTGTACTTCATTTCATATGTATGTTTTTCAGAGTTTGGCAGGCCCGGCCCCCAGGCCGGACCGTATTTTAATTTTTTAAAATTCGGGCCGGGCCCGAATTTTTTTTTAAAAAAAACACCCGGGCTGGGCCTAAAAATTTTTTTAAAAAAAATACCCGGGCCGGGCTGTATATTTTAAAACCAAATATTTGAAATCGCCATTATTAGCTATAAAAATCAAAAATAAATAAAATTTTAAAAAAAATTCGGGCCGGGCCTGAAAATTTTATTTTCAAAGAAGCCGGGCTGGGCCTAAAAATTTTTTGAAAAATAACCGGGTCGGGCCAAAAAAAAATTATGAAAAAAAATCTGGGGCCTGCAGGGCTCTGTTATTCTTCTTAAAAAAGAGAATGTTTTCTCATTAATTTGCTAATGGGGAGAGTTTCTAATATTTATATAACCATAATAATATATTGGGAATATAATCTAAAATGTGTTTGAAATAATTCAAAGCATCTATAGCATTTTTTGGGACTGTATCAACCATAGTTATTCAGCTAATAAGGCATCATAAGATACTTTAACATCTTCATGATAATAACAAATATTTTTTTTTTCTATCACCATCTGAAAAAGGTTGGGAAAGCTTTTGTGGAAGTAATATCTGCAGATTGGTAAGTCCTGCATGATGAATTAAAAACCATTCATTTATTTGGGTTATAAATGTATCTAAGAGAGGGGACATTTGTTTTATAATACTCTTCTACTGATCCTTTATTAATGTTTTGACGATGAGCTTGCTTGCTGCAAGTCGAGGGGGACAAATATTAAACACGTATAGCTCTGCTTTTGACTCAACAATAACATATAAAATATGAATCAACATTAGCTTGAGTTCTAATAAAATGCTCTGCGCTATTCTCATCTTAAAATGTCATGTTTTTGAAAAGCATTACATAAAATAGTTGTATAATTAAATAATACATTCTAATGAGAAAAAAAATTTGGAATAAGTATTGAATCCAATAATTTTCTTGCTTCTGAGGAAATATTTCTTTCAAGTTGTGATATTTCAGTAATAGCATTAATAATCGGCTCTTCTAACACCATAAAAGTTGTTACTGCCTGATGGCGGAGACTAGATCTCGGTGGACAAGCTTGCAATTTCTTTCTCCCTGTTAGACAAGGAGTTTCAGGGATAATTATTATTTGACTAGAAATTTAGATAAATATTACGCCACTAAAATTTAAAAATAATAGGTAAATATTACGCCAAGGAAAACTTGAAATTGAAATTAATTGATAAAATAAAGTAGATGAATGTGAAAAATAAATGTAATTAAATATATATATATATATGAGATAGGAATAAATATTAACAAATATATAAATTAATATAAACATTAATATTTTTGAAAAATATAATCCGGCATCTGCATTTTTTGGCTTTGGGGGGAAGGGATTTGTCCCCACCCCCCACCCCCCCCCCCCGTTTCGTACACGCCTGGTATTATAACATATCAATTTTGTATATGAATACGAACTAATAGATTCGGAAACTTCTTAATATTATTTTATTTTAAAAAGAGAGATTTTGAAATTATCTAATTATTTGGATTTCCTAAACTTAACATTTATATCATAGTTTAAACTATAACGTCATTAATGGTAAATAAAATTTAATTGAGTACATATAATATATCAATGATAGGAACTAAGTTTGTATATGAGTAAAGCGAATAAATAGATTCCGAAACTTCTTAATATTATGTATTATTTTATTCTAAAAAGACAATATATAATTTTATACCTGTCCAAAATTGGAGATATGTTACAAATCACAACCCAGCCACGGAACCGATTTTATGGACGAAACCACCAAGGTTCGGTTCAGAGGAATCCGTACCATTGACATTTACTGATTTGGGCAATTACGAACAATAGTCAAAATAAAACCCAGATTATTACCCCCGCCTCCATTCCATTTTTATGCACGCCAAAATGTGAGAGGCTAGAGACGCAAAATAGATGACTAGAATCAATAGTAGGGTTGCAAAAATCGTGATTTTTTTAACAAAATAGATTTTTTGATTTAAATCGCGATTTTTTTGATGCACATCGCGATTTTAAACCAAATATTTCAAATTTTATTTAAATAATTAACTAAGATTGTAAAATATCGTTTTTTTAAATTTCAGTTTAATATTATCTTGCAAGTAAAACAATTGAGCCAACATATAGCAAGAAAATCATTTTATTATCATCAATATATAATAATATCCAATCAGAAATATATTCATAAAATAACATCAAATAATTATAATAAAAAAAATGACATACTCTCAGCTGGAAGACCAAGCTTCCTAACAAAAAACCATTATCCTTTGTTACAATACTAATGAATCCACTAAAAAAAAACTTCAAAAAATCACTTTTGATTGACATTTCATGTATAACATTATATATATATAAATATATAACCAAAATACAAAATTACAACACGCCCACCCTTCAGAAACCACGTGTTACATTTTTTAAAAAATATATAATTTATTTTCTAAGATATTCTTCATTTTTCATATAATTTTCCCGAAATTCGCTTCATTTCTCATCAGTTATTTGATATCATCTTCTCATAATCTTTTCAGGCCTTTTCATTGAGTCATAGCTCTTGGTCATCACTGCTCCAAATTTACACCATTTTTCATCTCCAACACCTCAGTGGTTAAATGAAACATATAATGGGTTAAATGAAACATATAAGGGATTAAATGAAACATATATGACATATATTTCTTTATCAAAGATTAGCAATCAAAATATATATTATATATAACTACAATTCCTTTACATATACGTAATTAATGTGATATTTTGTTTAAAAAATTTTTGATTTAAAAAAAAATCATCAGATGTAATATTTTTAACATAATCATTGAACATTGGTAAACATAAAAAAAATATAATTTTGGTGACTGATAAAAACTACATATATTACATAAAACTACAATTTTGTTATGTATTCATAATTAATGGCATAATCGCATGAAAACTATATAAATTACATGTAACTAAATAGAATATTTTGATTTTCAAAAAAAAAATTTTAATTGTTAAAATAAAATAAAGACAGAAATATTATTACAATTGTTGGACAGGTAATATTGTAAAATCTAATAAAAATGAAAAAAAAATTGAATTTAAAAGTTTTATAAATTATCATTTCAAACAATCTTAATTATAACTTTACATTCAAAAAATTTATTTAATTGTAAAATGCATCACCTCTAGCATTTAACAATAAATAATCATATATGTTTCAACAATGATAACATTTAATTTACATTTAAATATATATCACCTATATATACTTATCACTTAAAATTAAGTACTTTTTCTGTTTAATTCAAATTAAACTCAAATATATTATATATATTTATCAATCACCATTAAATATTTTATATGTCTAATTCCAATTAAACCTCAAATATATCACATATATATTGATGACAATTAAATGCTTTATATATTTAATTCAAATTAAATTTCAAATATATCCCATATATATTTATCTATTACAATTAAATACAATATATATTTAATTTCAATTAAGCCTCAAATATATCACATATGTATATATTTATCCATCACAATTATATGTTTAATTCCCATCAAATATATCACATATATATATATTACATATTATATATGTCTAATTCCAATTAAACCAATGTTAACATATCATTTGATATTATGTATCCAACTCACCTACAAACTTTATTTCAAATTTAGTTCTATTTATGACACTAACTTACCCACCAATCTCTTCAAAATAAGGTTAAAATTCAATTTACAATACTAATAATTGTAATGAGTTCCCTTTTAATTTTAGATTACCTCAGTAACTATAATTTCATTTGTATGATACCAAAATTTTATCAAAATTATTTCCCTTTCTGATCACTCAATTTATGAGCACTATATTAAACACTCAAATATTTTATATAAATTTTTACAACTTCAATTGACCACAGCCAAATTAATAATATTTAAACATTAATAGAATTGGACTATTCATCATAATATATCCTATTAATTAGAACTGGACTAAAAATGGACCAACACAATGTCTACATGGCCGGGGTGGGTAGGAGACAAATGTCTCCAAAATTTTGGCATTTTGGTGGGTAGGTATTTTTTGGGGTTGATATTTTTTTGAGGGGGTAGACATTAATTTTTGGAGACATTGATTTTTGGGGGGTAGTTTTTCACTTGAATTATATTCTTTTTAAATTCAATAATTGATACGATTTTGATTTTATTCTGATAAATGTCAATTAAAAAGAAACAAATAATAAGAAACTATAAATTTTTTTCTTTTTAAATTTTAAGCCTTTTTATTATTTTTTAGCATAATATTTTACAATTTCACACGTAAAATATTAATATTATTCTTATTTGCTAATTTCCTAAAAGTATAGAGGTTAACATATATATATGATCAATTTTAATATAAATTTCAATAAGAGTATAATAAATCATTTAAAATTTAACAAATTATTTATTTAATAATTAGCAAACATTCAAAGTTATTGAAGATTCCCAAATTATATTTTCTTCTCTAATTAATCCCAAAGGAGTTACCCAAACAGCTTTTCAATTCAATTATTAGCAAGAATTAGAGATTTAATTATTTTTTCTAGCCTAAATAGGACTGAAAGGAAGTAAAAAAAATTTGTTGTGTGATTATAAATGGAAGCTTATTATAAGATTATTTTTATTAATATCACTGTATATTTTGTAGGGGGGTTTGCCTCCATTAAATTTTCTGCCATGTAGACGCTGGACCAACATACATATCTCATTTTATAAATTTTTATAAATTAATTTGTATCTTTAACATGCAATTTTACTGGTCTTACATTTCTTATCCTTTAATTTCCTTATCAACAATTTAAATCATTATTTAAATCATTGATATAAAAACAACTTTTACTTAATTTACATTGCGTTGTGTTTATTATTAATCCATATCTTCGGATCCTGAAGCCATCGGCAACATTAAAAAACAATTGAACCAACATATATCAAGAACATTATTTTATTATCATCAATGTATATATATCCAATCAGGAATATATTCATAAAATAACACATCAAAAAATAATCATAATTAAAAAAATTGACATACCCTCAGCTGGAAGACCAAGCTTCCTAACAAAAAACCGTTATCCTTTGTTACAATAAAAATAATTAAAAAATCCACTAAAAAAAAACTCACTTCAAAAGATCACTTTTGATTGACATTTCATATATAATATTATATATATATATAAATATATTACAAAAATACAAAACTACAACAGCAAGTAAAGTACTAATGCTCAAGGGAACACGTCAGGAAATTGCTGAAATATTAAATAATGGTATATGTTGTAATTTGATATTTTTCAAATAAAGAGCCGATCAATGCAGCTAATATGACAAAAATGATGGAGGATTTGAAAAGAAATAATTCAAAATTATATAATAACCTATGGGTGTAGTGCTCATTTTTTAAGTCTACTATCAAAAGATTTGGAAAATGGGAACAAATAGTTAGCATGGTAAAGTATTTCAAAAAATCAGTTTGCAAGTTTCAAACTGAAACAAGAGGGAGGGCGATCTCTTGTCACTCCATATGATGTTCGTTGGAACTCAGAATAGATAGTTTAGATGCCTATATAACTGAATTGATAAAAAAAATTTAATATGTGAAAGCAATCAAAATAAAATCGATATTGCTTTTTTAAAAAATTGAAATATTACACTCAAAAGAGCTGCTGAGGATATTGAAATCTTAAAACCAATTGCTAAATGTTTAAAAATTTTAGAAAGAAATAAATCAAATATTTCAGACATAGTATATTATTCGACAAAATTTCACCTCCTTACATGTTAAAAAATAAGTAGTTATCAACTTTCATCATTTCCTAAACGATACAATCAAGCTTTAACTCCTCACTTTTTATCCTACCGATTAAATCCGAAATATCATTCAAATTTAACAACCAATAAAATGGAAACGGCAATTGGAATGCGGAACACTGACATTTTATCTATCTTGGTAAAGTTTCAAGCAAGATCAGACTTATTTACTAAAATTATGTTTTCGGATAATATAGTAAATAAAGGAAACCCTATTGAATGGTGGATGGCTCAAGGAAATTTTCTAAAGGATGTAAATATTTTAAAAATCATAAAACAACTATTTATTGCATTTTCACCATGCGCTTCAGTCAAGATAGTATTCTCGTAGGGAGTTGTTTACTCGAAGCTTAGGAATTGGTTAGGAACAGAAAAGGCTGGAAAATTTGTTTTTTTAAGCAATTAAATTCTAATACCAATGTCTACGATATTGATAAAATAAATTTTAAAATATGTGTAGATTCTTTATATTAGTTTTGTTTTATATTTAGAATATTAAATAATTTTTCACCATTGCGATTAGGATCAGCAGTTATTTTTCTACTATGTCAAAAAATGAAATAAAACATAAACTATTTTGTCTAACAAGTGGTAATTACTAGTGCAATTTGGTTATTTATTTTAGATTTGCTTATCTGAGCCCTTATCTTTCGCTATTTTAAATTTTGATTTAAATCATTGATTTTTAAAAAAAAATCGAGGTGATTTAAATCTGATCTAAATCGGCCAACCCTAGTCAATAGCATTTAACTTATACTATAAGACACAAATATTATTTACACTTAAGTTAGGTAGGAGGGTACCATCACACATGAAGATCTAATACTAACAAAATTATGCAACGAGGAGAAAAATTCGAATGCATGTATTAAATTCCCCTTTTCTGGGATTGAATGAATACAATTATTCCTTTGATCTTGATTGAAATTGAGTTATCCGGGTGGTATATATTATAAGAGACAAGCAAAATCAATTTCTTTTAAGAAAGTCTGCCCGAGAGGTCAAATTTTTTTAGACCTAGGCGACTCATAGTCCGAATTAAAAAAAAACGTATAGGGAAAAAATTTCAAGCTCAAAATATTCATTTTATTCGTAAATGTTCAGCAATTTGATAATTTAATTTTTTTAAATTTATTTATTACAAAATATGCTATGGTATGATTTCCCACCTCCTGACTCTTAAAAACTTTTCTTATTGTTTAAATTCATCTAATAATTGTTTGTGATATTTGATCAGGCAAAAAGGGAAGAATAGTAAAGTATAGCATTAATATTTTATGGCCACCGGCTAGGCCCATATTTTATTAACGATGTTCCTGGTCTGTCGGACTCTTAATATTATATTTATTACTAAATTGTATGATAATACACCATCTTACGGTAATATCTTGAAATTTAAAATGTAATTATAATTATTTTTAATATAATTATATTAAAGGATTTAAACTATTTATTAAGAGATAAAAGAAAATACAACTATTAATGAATATCTCTTTATTATTGAATATATCTAATAATTTAATTTTTATAAGTTATTTATATCATAAGAAGATGAATCTCATTTCAATTAATTGAGTATATATCAAATATTTACCTAACATTTGCAGTTTACCTAGGCATTTGCAGTTTAGTCAAACCTATGCAATTTAATTTTTTACGCTCTTACTCAATTAGTTCCGAAGATATGGCGGGTCAAAGCTAAAAATTGACGTCCTTCCTAATGAAAAATCCAATAAAAATAAAGAAATTTAAAATAAATGATAAAGTTTATAATTTAATTTTTTTTTAAAATATCTCAGGTGTTTTTTCCATTCCGGAGAAAGTAAGGGTTAGATTTTAATATGTACTTAAGCATAAAATATTTTAAAAATTGTTTTATATGTTTATTAAAATCAATATAAATTTATATTGAAAAATATTAGGTTGGGATAACCATTGTTTTTCAAAGTTATTTAATTTTTTCAATTTTTTAACGATAAAAAAGTCATTATAGGTGGAGATATGCTACAAATATCTAAATATTATTTGTAACATTCGAATTAAGAAGAAATTCACTTGCTTAAAAGATTTAATAAGACATACGTAATAACTGACATATACATACGGCTATTCCACTAGGTCTGTGAACTATTGAAACATAATTTATTCAAATGCTCACGGAGGTAAAGTGGAAAATATTCCTTATCAAAATAGGAAATTTAGATTGAATAGAATTAATGTCATAACTTGTTTGTACAATAATTTGGTGGTTAGCGTTGTAGATAAAAATGAAATAGCATAAAAGGCACAAGTTAGCTTTCTGTATTATCATGGACCTTCTCCATCCTTCATTTTTCTACCTAATGAAGATAAATTATATATTTCTAACATTATAGGAACTTAAGGCTGTGTCCTGGTTCGATTTAATTTTGATACTTAATTGCTGTTTAGTCTAGATTAAATAGTTTTTGAACCAGAACAACCTAATTTGGCTTATTTTAAGTATTTGGTATTGTTATTTTTCATATTTATTATCTCGTTTTTTTTGTTTTTTCGTTTTATTTATATTTTTGAAATAATTTTTCTTTTGCTTTTAGTCTATGTTTAGGAATGAGTCGAGCCAATATACATCCCACAAATAGCAAATCATATTGCGTTTTTTAAATGTTTATAAGCGCAAAACAGAAAAAACGGAAATGTAATTAATTTACACGCTACCATTTGAAATTTATTATTTGCGTCTGCAACGCAGCGTTGTTCATACTACTAAACCTTATAAAGTAATCTTATGCCAATATTAAAATTTGCTTCTTTTGTTAGTTCTAAATATTTAATAAAAAAAAGCATGATTTTCTAATTTTATTAATAGAATGTAAAAGAAAAATTTTAGCAGTAATATATATAGTCCTGTTCAACTGAAGAATTATCTAAAATATGGACCCGACCCAGGCCTGAAAATATTAATGCTATATTTCTTTACTATTCTTCCCAAATATCAGAAGCAATTTTAAGATGAATTTAAAAAATAAGAAAGAGAAATAGTTACTAATTCCATAGCATATTTTGTAATAAATAGAATAAAATAAATAAACATAATTAAATTATCAAAATTGCTGAATAATAATTTAATGCATAACACTAAAATAGAGAATAAAATAAATATTTTGAGTTTGAGATTCTTTTCCTTTACGTTGTTTTTCCAATTGCCGTGAAGCGCTTAGATCCAAAAAAATTGCCATCTCGAGGTGTCAAGGTTAAAAAATTGATTTAGCTGGCCTCTATAATATATACCACCCAGATAAATCTCAAAAATATAATCAAGGAATCATGGTATTCATTCAATCCATTTAGTAAATATAAATAATCACATATTTTCATTTGAATGCCATTACCATTTCTTTTTATAATTATTAATTAATTCACATGGAATTTAATTAAACAATATAAAAACTTGCAACTAATAAATAAAAAAGATCATTTAATTAGTATAAAGTTTCTCTATTATATAATTTTAACTCTATTATAATAAATAAATATAACACATTTTTAAAAGTATTTATACAATTAGTCATGGCATTTACATTTATTGTCAATTTTATTTACAACGTCGCCTTCCGTATAGTATTTACAATATTTTTAGTCATACATTCATTGAATTTGACCAGGATACGTTTGAACTCTCTTATGGAACCCGGTATTAACTCTCACAATATACTCCATCTTCTATCGCCTCTAATTCAAATAGTCCAGAATTTTTATTGCCTACGAAATTGTGACAATAACTGATTGCCCTAGTCTGTATAAAATATACAATGATAATAACATTTTGGAGATGAATTTACTTCGTTCATTCACTCATTTTTTTCAGCAACCGACCTACGTGACCGTTCTCATATTATGCTTTATAAATCTTCTGAATTACGCGGATCGCTACGCCGTTGCTTCTGTTCTTGTAGACTTGGAGACCTTTTTTGGTTTGGACAACCGATCAGCTGGTCTCATCCAGACAGTGTTCGTATGCTGTTACATGCTGTTCGCTCCGATCGCTGGTTACCTCGGGGATAGACGCGATCGCAAGAACATAATAATATCGGGTGTCTCCGTTTGGTGCCTCACCACCTTGGCCTCCTCCTTTGTGACAGCCTCAGGATTTTGGGCATTTTTACTTTTGCGATCTCTAGTGGGTCTCGGCGAAGCCAGTTATTCCACCGTGGCCCCCACAATATTTGCCGACCTTTTCCCGCCCACCAACGCCAACAATAATAGTAACGATGCTAGATTGATTTGCCTCAGCCTTTTTTACTTCGCCATCCCCGTGGGTAGCGGGCTAGGCTACATATTTTCTTCCTGGTTAGCCCACGCGACGGGCACATGGGTTTGGGGCCTGCGAACTACACCCCTTCTCGGTGCCATCCTCATTATTATTTTCAAGGCCAAAGTCAATAATATACCACCATCTGCCAAGAGAATGAGCGCCGAAAATGTCGAAGGGAACGGGAATGATGACAAAATTACCCCAAATATCGGTATAGATGACGTTAAGATGGTCGAAGATATTTATTCAAGTTTATTTTTTTTTATGATTCAGTATACGGGAGAATAGGACGGGATGACAACTGGGGTAAAAAAAAGTAAATGTCTCTTCCATGTTTCCTAAGCAGATATAACAATAATTTGTCTATAATATTAGAAATATATAGTTGCAATAAAATTTTATGCATAATTTTTTATTATTTATTTAAACTTATATATATTTTTTTAAATTCATTTTCAAAAATGGTGTGATAACTGTCCAAACCTCTTCATTTTATTAAAATACATTATTTGACCAAATTTGAAATATTTACTTATTAAAGTTAAAACGTTGGCGAAAAAAATTAAATAGCTCCCAAACTATTATATAAGCTTGGATTTTTTTGATTTTGTAATCTAATAATAAAGTTATTCAATGATATAATTATTTTTAGTTACCCCGTATCATATGTAACAAAAATCTAGCAGCAAAATATTTGCCATTTTGGCCTTTTGTTCTTGGATTTATAAATCTTCGACGGTTTCCATAACCTTATAAATGGGTTGTAATGAAATACTGTATTTTATTTGTTAAAAGGAAAAACTTATATGCTTTAGAACGTTCAAGAAGCATATAAGTAAATGAGATATTTATGGAACAAGGAAGAAATTGTAATACTGATTAACTAATTATTTAACAAACCCAATGGCTGGCAATATCATAAAAATAAATATAATATCTTTTTACATTATGGCGTTATCACTATCTATCAAACTATTGGTGATCTGCATCGGGCCTTTTCAAGCCCCCCGAATTTTTTAAAAAAATTTGTCCAGTCCGGCCGATCCCAAACGAAATTTTTTTTATTTATCCCGAAGAGCCCGACCCAAAATAAAAATTATTTGTTCGCCCAGCCAGGCCTGAATTTATTTAAATATTATAAATAAAAAATATTAGCGCTTTGTTTCTTGCAAGAATTTTAAAATATATCAATTTATTTGGCAAAATGTAATGATATATTTTAAAATTTAAGCCCGACGTAGCCTAGCCCGAAATTTTTAAAAAATTATTGGACTCGACCTAACTCGAACCTAAATTTTTTTTTAAAAATTTGCAGATATCTACTTACTATTATATTACACTTCTTAATGACGAATAAGAACAATAAACCTATTAATATTTTAAAAATCAAAATCAATCACTTTTTTATTTTATATATAACAAATCCAAGCTCTTAAAAAATAATATTTTATTAGTAAGCGTTAGAGATAAATAAAAAAACTAATAATCGATAATATTAAATTAAATTAATAATTTTTTTTAGAAACTCGGGAGAAGAAACCGAATCCCATTTTTGTGTTTAAATTCTTTAACTCATTTCAAAAAACCTTCGAATCTACTATAGATTATTTTAACAATCTAAAAGATCTAATAAAAAAACAAATATAAATTTGATGAAAATTTTAAGGGACAATTAATAAACGCTTAATAAAGAAACTTAGAACCAAATTGTTAATCGAAGATTAAATCATATTATCCGAATACGATTCTAAAGTTATTACACAGAAGAAATTTAAAAAATACTTGATAGCAAAAAACACCAATTTTATTCCCCATCGTAATCCATCGCCTTATGATAAAATCAAATGTCAGAATATCTATCAAAATATTTCTCATCCCCAAACAACAATATTCTAATAATTGTAACCAATCTTTTCATACTAATCAACAAGATTCTAATAATTATTATCAATATCCTTGCCTTAAAATATAATTATCAACATTTATTAATTCACATTAATGCAATCAAAATTTTAACACAAAGCGGAAATGCGTAAATTTTCGATAATTTACATTTGGAATACCATGACAAAATTTTATAAAAAAAAGATATACTCAGAAATTTTAAATTAAATTTGGAAATAACGTTAAGAATCATTCCCTTTTTATTAAAATTGTTTGGAAATATATTCCACCATATGTAGAAAACCTATTCTGTGATTTTTAGAGAATTTTATGTATATATATTATGATATAGCATTATGGTGAGAAACATTATAATTGCAGAATACTTAGAAGAAGAGGATCATAAAACTATAGATTTTTCCATTTTTTTTGTATATAAACTAATTAGAAAATTTGAATAAAATTTAAATCAAAGATAGCCAATTTAATTTTCAAGCAGGCGCGTACGCAGCGGGGGGGGGGGGCAGGTCAAAGCCAAAAAATGCAGATGCCGGATATATTTTTTGAAAATATTATTGTTTATATAAATTTATATTTGTTAATATTTATTCCTATCTCATATTAAATATATATTTAATTATATTTATTTATCACATTCATATACTAAATTATTTTATCAATTAATTTCGATTTCAAGTTTTCCTTGGCATAATATTTACCTATTATTTTCAAATTTTTGACGTCGTAATATTTATCTACCATTTTCAAATTTCTAGTCAAATAATAATTATTTGTGAAACTCCTAGGCCAACAGGGAGAAATAAATTGCAAGCTTGTCCAACGAGATAGATTCTCCGCCATCAAGCAGTAACAGCTTTTATGTAGTTAGAAGAGCCGATTATTAATGCTCTTACTGAAATATCACAATGGCCTGTAAGAAATATTTCCTCAGAAGCAAGAAAAAATTATTGGATTCAATGCTTATTCCAAATTTTTTTTCTCATTAGAATGTAGGGGAGACCAAATATAATGTGTTCCCGGGGTAGGTATTTCCTTCTCTAATAATTTAAAAATTAATAAAGTTTAAGATTTGAAATTTAAGCCAAATATGTATTTTAATAAGGTGCTTAAGTAGGTCAAAAAATGTTTCGGACAAAATTGCTCATGAAAAATTTTAAATGCAAATTTAAATTTCAATACCCAAAGTAACTTTTTAAAATTTTACATTTTCACTAATAACTTTTTTACTTTTTTTATATTCGTTGTTTGGACTTAATATTAATTCTAAATGATAAAAAATTTCCATTTTATCATATATAAAATTATTGACACAATTTATGGTAATTTAATATCTTAAAATTATATTTTAATTAATTGTGAAGACCTGGGAAAGGTTTTAGCGGGGTGCGTATTAGCCATTTTTAAGCAAGGATTAATTTGAATAAAAAAAATCCAACTAAATTTATAAAAACATTAGAAGCCACTAGTTTGTCTAGGACCACTAGTGACAATATGAAGATGATTGACTTATTTTTAGTAATTATATAACAGATTTAAGTGACAACAAGTACTTCCGGGCGACATATGTGATATAGATGAACCCTAATAAATTTAACATATTTGACAATTTATTTTTATTTATTTACTTAGAATCAACACTTTTATATAAATTTTTTTTAAAAATCTAAAAATAAAGAAGCGCTATGACAAGTAACGTGAAAGGACATAAAATTTAAATTATCATTTTTTTAAAATTTATATATTTTTTTATTAGATATTAATTTCTACCGTAGATAATTATATAAAGAATAAAATAACATTAAAATTATTTTGATAAGTTACTTCTCCTAATTTTCACAGCCTCTCAATTTTTTTTGGACAATTCGCCCCGGTCTCCCCTATTATTTAATTATACAATTATTTTATGTAATATTTTTCAAAAACATGACATTGACTTGATTAAGAAGATGAGAATGGCAAAGAGCATTTTATTAGAACTCAAGGAAATTAGGGTTAATGTTGATGAAGAATTTCATATTTTATATGTTATTTTTGAGTTAAAAGCAGAGCTATACGTGTTTAATATTTGTCTCCTCGACTTGCAGCAAGGCAAGCTCATCGTCAAAACATTAACATAGATCAGTAGAAGAGTATTATAAAACAAATGTCCCCTCTCTTAGATACACTTTTAACCCAAATAAATGAATGGTTTTTAATTCATCATGCAGCTCTTACCAATCTGCAAATATTACTTTCACAAAAGCCTTTTCAACCTTTTTCAGATAGTGATAGGAAAAAAAAATATTTGTTAAATTTTTATCATGAAGATGTTAAAGTATCTTATGATGCCTTATTAGCTGAATAACTATATTTAAAAGATTAACTATGGTTGATATAGTCCCAAAAAATGCTATGGATGCTTTGCATTATTTCAAACACATTTTAGATTATATTCCTCATGTATTAAAATGGTTTAACAACTCTTCCCATTAGTAAACTAATGAGAGAACTAAAAAAAAACCTACAAACACAAACTAAAACCTATCTAAAATCTACCCCAACCAAATCCTAGAAACTTAATCAAACTTTCTAAAAAACGAATCGTCAAGGATTATAGGAAATTATCAAATCAAAAGACAAATAAAACTACAATATAAATCCAACAATTTTATTCAAAAGAAAATTCATAATATCCGTAATTTTTATAAAAATTAATTAATTATCCACTAAAAAAAAATAATATTAACATATATTATATTACATCTAATTTTTCTATCCAATCAACCTTATTTTAATCGGTTGATTGGCATTTCGCGTAAACAAAAAAATATAAAATGTACGTATTTACAAATACGACATGCCACCCCTTTATGGGATCAGGGCATGTCGATAAACAAAAAATTTTTTTTTACATGTATAAAAAAAATGTTCATGCTCACCTTCATGTTAAATGAATATTCCTCACCCTAAGCCGACATGGGACTGCTCCAAAAATCCCCTGCACTAGTCGTCGGTAGAACCTCAGTAGCTATAGTAGCCATAGCTCTCTGCAACATATCTACCTCTCGATGTCCGCGAGATTCCCCTAATTGTGGCACTCCATCATTATAACTTGGTCTTTTCGGAGGACGCCTATCAGCAGGTATGACCGGTCCCATAAGAACAGAAGTTGTCGGCTGCTACACATTCATCTCGTTATATATCCTCTTTTGTCCCTCATATGGTTCTCCCCGCGGATTCTCCGATAACACCCCCATAGGTACACGATCCCTGGGTAGTTGCGTGCATTGATGTCTAAAATGACCCTCTCCCTGACAATTATAACATTTTTTCCGTCTAATCCCATATGTCGGTGGCTGATTTTCC